AGGAGCAGGGGGAGCCCCCCCCCCATGTCCCGTTTTGGTCCAGAGAGGCTTCAGGGAGGCCCAAAAAGGGGGGGGGAACGAAGGGGGGTTGCATATGCATGCACTGGGGGGAGGGGCGTGTAGGGGGGAGGGGAGCATGGGGTTGGTTGTGCGTGCATGAGTGCGGATAGGGCGCACATGGGGGCTGCCATGCATACATTGCATTATGGGTGTGGGGACACAGACATGCGTTGTTGCACCCACGCAGGCGCTTTTGACACGCAACAACCAAAAGCTTTGCCATCCCTGCACTGGGCCAAAGTGTGTCTGCAAAGGTCAGATGTCATTTCCCCCCCCCCCCCCAAATGAGACCTGCTTTATATCTTCTAATTCAGTGTTTCTCAACCTTGGCAACTTGAAGATGTCCGGACTTCAACTCCCAGAATTCTGGGAGTTGAAGTCCGGACATCTTCAAGTTGACAAGGTTGAGAAACACTGTCCTAACCACTGCTGGGGAATTCTGGGAGTTGAAGTCCNAAGCACCTTCGGGTCAACCATCACCTGGATTGAGTGAGACTCTCAATCAATCAGAGTAGGGCTGGAAGGGACCTTGGAGGTCTTCTAGTCCAACCCCCTATTCAAGCAGGAAACCCTGCACCATTCCAGACAAATGGCTGCCCAGCCTCTTCTTAAAAGCCTCCAGGGATGGAGCATTCACAACTTCTAGTGGCAAATTGTCCCACTGGTTAATTTGTCGGTTCCTTCAAAGTTCTTGAGATTGCAAGATCCTCAGTTTGTGACCCTGTTTTCTGCCATTGTGTGTCCCCATCCAGGATTCTCAGCTCGTGGTCGATGCCTTCAAATCCGGCTTTGAACCGCCAGGAGATGTTGACTTCGAAGACTTCACCCAGCCAATCAAGCGAGCCGTTTCCGAATCCAGCCTCTCGAACTCAAAAGAGAGCAAATCCGAATCCAGATTTTCCAGCAAGTCGAAGGGCAAATTATGGCCGTTCATCAAAAAAAACAAGGTATATATGACATTTCTCTCTCTCTCTCTCTCTCTCTCTCCTGTGCACACTTTGGCCTAGTTGTTCACACTTTTTTGTACAGTAGTTTTTGCTACTTGTGAGTTTTTTTCTTTGGAATCCCAGCAGTGAAGTGTTTTTTTTTCTCTCTCTCTTTCTCTCTCTTTCTCTTCTTCTTCTTCTTCTTTTTTTATTTTAAATAGAAATTAGTTTCTAAGAACTAATAGCTGATGGTCCTGTTTGAAATTTAATGTAACAGTTTTTCTTTTCATTGGCAAAGTTTTTGTTTTATTTTTAATTTTTCAATGCATCTTCTTTTGAAATTATGGTTCTTTTCATTATAATTTGTGTTTAGCTTTTAATGCCGAATTGATTTGAATTGGTTTGAAGTTAAGTTTTGTTTGGCTCTGTTTCAGTTGTATCTTCGCCATGGTGGTTACAGGCAGTCCTCGACTTACAACCGCAATAGAAACAAAATTCCCATTGTTCGTTAAGTGAGCTGTGCTTCAGTTTACAGCCTTTCTTGCCAGAGTTGTTAAGTGAATCATGTCAATTGTTAACCTAATAAGATGGTTTTTAGGTGACTGTGGCCTCTTCCCCATGGACTCTGCTTGTCAGAAGGTCCCAAATGGGGACTCATAAATATGAGTCAGTTGCCAAGCGTCCAAATTTTGCTCACATGATCATGGGGATGCTGCAGTGGTCATAAGTGTGGAAAAATGGTCCTGTCCGTTTTTCAGTACCGTCATAACTTCTAACAGTCACTAAATCAGTGTTTCTCAACGTTGGCAACTTGAAGATGTCCGGACGTCAACTCCCAGAATTCCCCAGCCAGCGAATGCTGGCTGGGGAATTCTGGGAGTTGAAGTCTGGACATCTTCAAGTTGCCAACGTTGAGAAACACTGCACTAAATCAACTGTTGTAAATCGAGGACTTCCTGAATTTTTTTTCCCCCAGACTTTCCTGCTCAATTCTAAATAATTGCTGTCCCTTCTTCTTCTTCTTCTTCTTCTTTTTTTTCCATGCTTGCCTCAGTTGCTCCTCTGGTTCCATTGCTCGACCCTTTCCAGCTAATCCAATCATTAGGGAAACAGGAAAGCCCAATTTCTCCATTGTTAAATTGGGCTGGAAGACCTAAGCATCTTCATTAGAACTTCATCCTCCCCCCGCCAGTCCAACTAGGAAACATGATTTATTTCCTCCACTCGCATGCTCAGTCTTTCGGCTAAACATTTGCTCCGCTGTCCACACATCAGTTTTGGGGTGGTGGTTGGTGGTGGTGGCCCCTTGCAAAGGAAGAAGCCAGAGGCCGATGGAGCACAGCCGTGGGTCCTTCAACCCAACAGGTGACTTTTCCTTCTCCGTGGCACCTGGAAACGGGGTTGAGATGGGGAAAGGGGACTCGACTCCTTTGAAGCTGAGCCCAGCTTTCGTGTCTCCTTGGCGGTTGGGACGGGACCTCCGGGGGTCCTTCTGGGCAAGCGTTCTGGGGCAGGGTAGCAAATGTTTGGGATGAGCAGGCCTAACACTCTCCACGTGCATCAGCTTCTCCTTTTTCACCACCCGCATGATCAAAGCATGAACAAGGCATGTTCCTGGGTTCTCCTCCTCGCGTTGGGTTGACGCCACTTCTGCAGATGTAGCTCTTTGCCTCCTACATGGTTAGGAGTTGGGGGTAGGATGGGTCTGGCCCAGGGGTCCTCACACATGTCACAACCTTCACTTTATTGATATTTGTGGTTGCATCTCGTTCTTCAAAGTCCACCAATGGTTTCCTTTAAGCGATACAGGGATCGCTTAAAGAATTCATAATTCTCAGCCACAAGATTTAGATTTATTTTATTTGTATGCCGCCCTTCTCCGGGAGGGACTCAAGGCGGCGAACAACTCAAAAGGGGAAAAGGGGAACATAGAACACAATACCAGTAGTTAACTCCCTGCGGAGATCCGGACCCTCACCTCCCTCCAGGCCTTCCGGAAAGCCATCAAAACCTGGCTGTGCCGGCAGGCCTGGGGTTGATGAGTTCCCCTCCCCTCTCGACNTTTAAAAAAAAAAATTCAGCAACATCCAGAAGAAAAACAGAGAGAGAGAGAGAGAGAGAGAGAGGGAGGGAGGGAAGGAGGGAAGGAGGGAGGGAGGGAGAGAGAGGTTAGTCAAAAATAAATGCCAATGTGGGGTTATAAGGGGGAAAGAAAATTGTGTGCAAAAATGAGTGTGTAAAATTACATCGCACAGAAATTTCTGTCGTGCAGGAACTTTCATTAAAACAAAGAGCAGCCGATGAGGAAACATGATGGATTTAATGTCAAAAACAGGGAGAGAAACCGAAATATTTGCCTGTGTTTGTAATAATGAACATATGTGGATTCCAAGCACATGGATCATAAGAATTGCACGCTTTTTTTAAAAAAACTACTTGCCTTCTAACTAATTGCCTGTAGTGGGTTCTGGCTGCCTTAAATGCTCCCAATCTGTCCATTCTCTCCCCCCCCCCCAATTAACGCATTGTGATTGGAGCACCCTCAAAAGGGAGATTTCTCCCAAAGAAATTCAAGGATGCAAAGTTGTCTATTTTAACACTGCCGCAAAATCCGTCCTGCAGCCAAGAGGGGGTCTCTTTTTCTGATTGTTCCGAGTGCTTGAAAATCCCTTTCAGACTTTGCTGCTTCTCCTCCCTCCCTCGGGATTGAGTGCAACCTTAAGCAGTGGGGGGGGGGAGGGGAAGGGGGGGCTGGTGGAAAGCCCACAGATTCTTTCTCCAAAATCTCACCATATAAGGGCTGGCAGAAGACCCAGCGCTCCCCTTCCCTGGAAAATGCCCCCCGCTCCGTTTTGTTTCGGGGTTTTTTTAACAAAAAGGGGGTGGGTTCTTCTTGAGGGCACAGGGATGCACTCTGCACGCGGGCAGGGGTGCCTTCTTCACCCTCAGCGCTCCTCCTCCCCAGGGAGAGCCCGGGTCCTTCCCCAAAGCCGGCTGCAACATCTGGGGAGATGCCAGCGGGGGAGAGCCGGGAGTTCCAGGCTGGTGGGGATGAGGAGGCATCTGATGGGAAGCAGATGAGAGTGGGGGGGCTGGGGAGCCAGCCGAAGCGAGTGGGCCGGGAAAGGAACGCCAGACGGTGGAAATCTTGCTCAGAGGCCGCGGTGGGCGGAGGAGCTGACTTACAAAGGGATTGTTGATGGAAAATATTTATGCAAAGGCAGCACCCATTGCCAGCGGGGAAACCAGTTAACCAATTCCTGCTTCTGCAGAGGCATGAGGTGCCCCTCTGGCCATTCAACTGTTCTTTTCCTAAAAACTCCTCCCTGTGACTCAAGGCAGTAAACATCTTCACAACAATCCTTTCTGCTCCTCTTTTCCCCACAACATCCCTGCCAGGTGGGTTGGGGAGAGACAGAGACAGAGAGTGGGAGAGACAGAGAGAGAGGGAAAGAGAGACAGAGAGAGAAACAGAAAGAGAGAGAGAGGGAGGGAGGAAGAGAAAAGAGAGAGAGAGAGACAGACTAGAACAGGACTAGAACTCGCAGTCTCCTGGTGATTGGCTCAAAGTCACCCAGCTAGCCTTCATGGCTAGGACGGTACTAGAACTCACCGACTCCTGGTGAGTTCTAGTCCCACTTCATGGTGACTGGCCCAAAGGTCATCCAGGTGGCATTCATGCCTAAAGCAAGACTAGAACTCACCATCTCCCGGTGACTGGCCCAAAGTCACCCAGCCAGCACTCACATGTAAGACGGCACTAGAACTTCCAGCCTCCTGGATCCTAGTCCCAGCATCTTAACTCTCCACCGCACTGACTCTCTTCCCTTTTCCCTTAGCCAGTTTTTGTTGTTGTTGTTGTTTTGGGGGTGGGGGGTGGGGGTCTTTTGTAGTCCCTCCATTATTTCCCAGGCTGCTTTGCAAGGGAAGTCATAGGGGCAGCCATCGGGTGCAAAATCTCCCCGGAAGCATCTGCCAAGTATCCCACCTTTTCCGCTTCTCCTCCTCCTCCAGGCCCGCCAGCAAGCCCAGGTGCGTCACCAGATGGCCGAAGAGAGCAAAGGAGAGTACCTCTCCACCTTACAGAGGTTCAACCAGGAGCAACGAGAACATTACCACACGCACATCCCCACCATTTTCCAGGTGAGGCAACCTCTCGCAATTTGGGCCTCCGAATTATTTTTGGTAGCAAACAATACAGTCCTCGGACTTACGACCTCCATTTGGCCCCCCATGGTTCTGTGGCTAAGCGAGACGGTGCTTCAATGAATCACTGCCGTTGTTAAGTCAGGAACCCGGTCATTAAGTGAATCCGGCTGCCCCATTGAGAAGGCTGCCAAAGGGGATCACGCGATCCCGGAACACTGTGACCGTCATAACTAGGAACCAGTTGCCAAGGGTCCCAATTTTGACCATGCGACCACGGGGATGCTGCAACAGTCATAAGCGTGAAAAATGTTCCCTTTTTTTCAAAGCGCCGTTGTAACTTGTCACTAAATGAAACGGTTGTAAGTCAAGGATTTTCTAGGCGAAGGCAGCCCTAACTTCTCCTGATCCTCTGCTAGTTTCTGCCGCATCTGAATGAATAAACTCTGGCAGGAATTCAGACACAGCTGCCGGTTGTCCGAAAGACTCTGGAGCTGTCGTTGTATTGACATCATTGTTTGTCCCACCGCTGTCACTCACTGCTCTGCAGCTGGAGAGCCACAACGCGGAGGGGGCAGCCTGGTGCCAGGTTGAACCAACCAAGGCTCTGCCTGGATGCCCCAAGCCAAGAGTTGGTTATGTGACCGTTGCCAAAGGTTGTTTAGTGCAGTGGTCACCAGCTGGGGGNTCTCTCTCTCTCTCTCTCTGTAGCTTAGCGCTAACTCAGCCTTCCTAGGATGACACAACCGAGTTGTTTTCAGCCTCCACCTTTTGTTAGCAGCCCCTGGATTTCTTGGCTGCCTCCTTCCGGTGGCAGGAGATTTCCCGGCCTCTGCAGGCAGCTCCCTTGGATTCGGCTTGAGTTGTAGGAAGCTAAAATACGCTGCGTCTTGGTGAGATGGGCAGGACGGGCCTAGTTAGCTCGGAGGGCCTTGATCGGTTCATCTTGCTTTCAGCAATCGGATCTCACCACCGCTTTCCGTCGCTAAGCAAGTTGGTTGCTAAGTGAGTCACAGCCAATTTTATGTCCTTTTATTGGCCACAGTTGTTAAGTGAATCACTGCAGTTGTCCAGTGAATCCTGTTAAGCGAATCCAGCTTCCGGCAAGGAAAGTCAACGGTCGGAAGTGTGAAAGTCACTTTTTTTTTCAGTGCCGCCGTTGCAGCTTTGAAGGGGCACTAAGTGAATGTCGAGGGCTCCCAGTAGGAAGGACTGGAGATTTTGTGCATTTCGTGGTGGGCTTATTTTATAACACGACCCATTATTTCAAGTTCCCCTCTTCGGATGTTTGCCTTTCCCCAACCTGGTGAGGAAGCACAAACGTTGTGGGCCGCGGGGAAAAATTGTGATGGGCTTGAAAAGTCTTTTAGCTCCGCCTTCGGTTCTTTTGCCATTTTGGGGAAACCCGTACAGGGAAGGGTGGACGCTCCCTCCCTTCCGCTGTTTTCCCTTTGGGTGGGTCTATTTTAACTGAAATTAAAAGAAATGAAAAGAGGCTTGCTCCCGGGGAGGGAAGTGATGGCAAAGCTAGACGGCCTACTAAATAGCAGAGACATCCCCCTGCCAACACGGGGGCCTCTAGTCACTCGCTCTCCTTAACGGCCCAGGCTCTCTCTTCTCCCTCCCATGACGTCACAAACAATTGCCGCTCTAGGACGCCGCACTCCCTCTCCTTAACGGGCCAGGCATTCCAGAGTTATGCTGGAACACACACACACACACGCAGGCACGCACAACAGGGGTGTCTTCACCCCCACCCAGTATTTGTATCCAGAGGGTAAGTCACCTGTGTACCAAGTTTGGTACATATTTGCATATGCATATATTGCATATATATATATAAATAAAGAAATGTCTCTCTGAGCAGCATGAATGTTGGATCCCATGGTGGTTTCCAGGGTTTGGGTATTGATGCGTTGCGTGAGTTTACGGTGAGCGCATCTGGGGCAGAAGAGGTGGGGGTGGGCCAGAGTTTGAGGGCAGGGTCTGCGATCACAGCTCTGCCCCCATGGTTGGTGCCTCATTAGGGTTTTCTTTTGTGCTTCTTTCTCCTACTCATTAGCCCTAGGAGATAATTGCCCTGCATTCCATCCCTATGATAATATCTGGTCAAGCATTTTGGTGCTGAAGACGAGCTCCCTGGTGGCTGAACGATGGTGGAAAATATATATTTTGTTTTATTTCTGAACACTGCAAGGGAGATATTTCCTCCTTCTCTTTCTCCTCCTCTTCTATGTTCTTATTCTCTTCTTCCCCTTCTCCTGTTTATCTCTTCCTTCTCCTCCTCCTCTTACATCTTCTCCTTCTCTTCTTCCCTTTCTCCTATTTATTTATCTCTCCTCCTCCTTCTCTTTCTCCTCCTTCTCTTCTATCTTCTCATTATCTTCTTCCCTTCTCCTATTTATTTATCTCTTCCTTCTTCTTTCTCTTCCTCCTTCTCCTCTTTATCTCCTCCTTCTCTTCCTCCCCTTCTCCTATTTATTTATCTCTTTATCCTCTTCTTTCTCTGTTTCCTATTTCTTTCCTTCCTTCCTCTCCACTTCCTCCTAGTCCTCCTCTTTCCAAGGCTGTTTTTAATCTGTACTGATGCTCCTTGCATAATAGGGACCAGTATCTTGGTTTTCACCCCAAACAAATGGGGGTTTATTTTGCACCCTTCAAAAGTGAGCACCCTTTTTTTTGGGGGGGCGATCTTTGTTGAGCTGTGAAAGTTCTAACTAATCTGAAAAAGTTCTAAAAGCAACTTGCGTTGTCTTGTGCTAGATTTCTCTTTGTGAGGTTTATTGTGCTAGTTTTCTACATGCAGGGATTTTTTTTTTTAAAAAAACTTACTTATCCCATTCTGTCTCTGAATATCTCAATGACACCCTTCAGAAACGGTGAATCCCAGGCACTCAGGACTGCACCACTGTGTTATTTTTCCTCTTGTTCCTGAAACTACCCCACTTCCTAAGACGAGGTTCTCTTTTTTAAAATTATGTATTTGTTTAAATAATCCCAACTGGCCAAACAAGCCCGCAGGGGAGCCCCTTGATCTAAAGCCAGAGGCAAAACATACCCAGTTGCCGTATCAGGCAATCGCATCGGGTTTAAATAAATAAAAAAAAGATGAATCACTCTTCTGAAGCCCAGCAAACTCCAGCCCCGGTGGGCGTGGGGAAGGGCGAATTAAGCTCCATGGAAAATACAGGGAAATTTATCCTCCTCCTGGGTGGTCCGTCCATTCACTCCCCTAGCACACCTCTCTACACAATTGCAAACACCACCTCCCAAATTCCATTTGGAAGCCCCACAAAGGGATGATTATCTTGAATTATCAATCAATCATCTTGAATCTCCAAGGTGGCTCAGTGGCTAAGACGCTGAGTTTGTTGATCAGAAAGGTTAGCAGTTCCGGGGTTCGAATCCCTAGCGCTGCGTAATGGAGTGAGCTCCCGTGACTTGTCCCAGCTTCTGCCAACCTAGCAGTTTAAAAGCACGTAAAAAATGCAAGTAGAAAAACAGGAACCACCTTTGGTGGGAAGGGAACAGCATTCTGTGCACCTTTGGCATTGAGTCATGCCGGCCACATGACCACGGAGACGTCTTCGGACAGCGCTGGCTCTTCGGCTTTAAAATGGAGATGAGCATCGCCCCCTAGAGTCAGGAATGACTAGCACGTATGATTGAGGGGAACCAACCATCTTGAATTATCACCTTGATTGTTTTTATGAAGAGCTGGGGGATGAAAGTATCTTGCTTTGATTAAAAACAAGGGAGGGGTGCAGAGGAAATCTGGATGCAGAGCAAGACTCCTCTCCCCACCTTTATTGCATGCATCTTCCTTTAGTGACGAGGTTGTGAAGTGAAGCTGGTTTCCCCGTTGATTTTGCTTGTCAGAAGGTGGCAAAAGGGGGAATCACGTGACCCGCTGGGACTCTGCCACCGTCATAAATGTGAGTCCGTTGCCAAGCCTCTTAATTTTGATCAGGTGGCCATGCTGATTGGATGCTGCAATGGTTCTAAGTGGGAAAAGTGGCCACTTTTTTTTTTCCAGTGGTGGAATTTCAAATGGTGGCTAACTACGTTTGCAGTTAGCCAGGACTAAACATATCTGCCCTTTAACAGAGGGTTCTCTCTGAGTAGCCATGGTGCTTCAGATATTCCAAATCTTGTGAATCTGATTAAAAGGGGGAATAATAGGAAGATGATGGAATGGATGGAATGAATGACAGATGGAGAGAAGCAACTTAGAATCAAGGATAAATTTCCAGATAGGGAGAAAAATCAATCCATTCCCTCCAGAAGTTGTGGGTGCCCCAACACTGGAGGTTTTTAAGGACAATTGTTTGGATGAAATAGCATTTAGACTTATATACCACTTTCTCAGTGATTTTACAGCCCTCTCTAAGCGGTGTACAGAGTCAGCCTCTTGCTCCCAATAATCTGGGTCCTCATTCTACCACCTCGGAAGGACCGAAGGCTGAGTAAATCTTGAGCCTAGTGAAATTCAATCTGCCAAATTGCAAGCAGCCGGCAGTCAGCAGAAGTAGCAATAGCAGTAGACTTATATACCGCTTCATAGGGCTTTCAGCCCTCTCTAAG